GTTTGGTTTTGTTTCACTGAGTGTCAGACTTGCACTTCTTAATTAATATTAAATATTATTATAGTTTTATGCCTAATAGAAACTTGCCTCACCTTTCCTGCCACCCTCCAAAGCATCTTCCCCCGAGGGCCAGGTCTGGCAGGCACCTTCCCCCTCCACCCAGGGGTGCCCGGGCTCCTGCGGGCAGCTGCAGGATGCTGAACAGCCCCTCTGGGGCTGAGCTGCTGGTGGGGCTCTGCCGAGAAGGGGGATTGAGGCAGGGAGCTGGGTTACCCGGGTGGTCACGGGCCGGTGGGGCCAGCCGTGCCCGCCCAGCGAGAGCAGGGCACCCTCCCTCAGCCCTGCTGCGGATGCGTGGTCCAGCACCATGAGCGGGAAGGGTTCGGGCATCTCCCAGACGTAGGTAGCAGCTCCTGGCTGCCTGCAGGGTCTCAGCTCCGAGGCCGAGCTGGCTTCGAGCTTGTCCCCGGCTGGGGATTTTTTCCTAGAGGCAGGAGGTGGAGGGGCTCGGTCCCTTCTGGGCAGCATCGCTACCAACTGTTCTTTCCCACTCGCAGGTCTTCAACGAAGACGGCACGGTGCGGTACTTCATCGATGCCAGCCAGGAGGACCACCGGAGCTGGATGACCTACATCAAATGTGCGCGGAACGAGCAGGAGCAGAACCTGGAGGTGGTCCAGATCGGGAACAGCATCTTCTACAAGGCCATTGAGGTAAGCGGGGCCGGGAAGCAGCCAGGCAGCCGCAGGAGGGGAGCAGGGCGCTGGGACCCCCCACCCCACAGACTCTCCCTCATTCTTTGGGCCATTACTGGCGCATCTGTGGGAGCACAGGGTGGCTTTGCTGTCCTGGCACCCAGATCCCCCGGGAAAGGCCATTGCAAGGGGTTCAGGGAGGCCCTTCTCCTCCCTGTCCCCTTTCGGTGGGCTTGTGGAGTGACGAGCTGAGCAGAGGGAAAGCAAACGCTGCCCAAGCTTGTTTAGGGATGCAAAGCATGAGAAGGGCTGCAAACCTGGACCAGCCGGGGCTTTGGGCAGGAGTGGGGTTTGATGCTGTCTCGAAAAACGGGATTTTGTGTAGAACCTGCTTCTCTGTAGCAGGGGAAAGTTTTTGGGTTTTTTTGTGAAACCCAGGGTGCTGAGTGCAGGCTGCGCCTGACTCTGCACAGCTTTCGCCCAGGGGGTCACAAGCAGATCTGGCTGTAAACAGCGTGAGAGGAGGATTGGGGCTGCCGGAGCCCGGCACGGAGCCACAGAGTGGGCAGGGTGCGGCGCTGGCACAGCCGTGCCTCATGCTGTCTGAAGTGAGGCTGTGGGGAAGGGACTCATCCTGCCTGGCTCATCTGTGTGCTCCCATACAAAGCGCCGGTGGGTGTTGGCCCTGCGGGGCAACAGGGGCAGGTGCTGGGTCCCAGGGATGTCCCAGGGCACAGGCTGCCATGCCGCGGGGTGCAGGCTTGGGGTACCTCCATCCCACAGCTCCCCACAGGAGATGCTGGAATGGAGTTGGGTGTCTGGGTCCCCAACATTGTTGATGCCACACGTGTGTAAGTCACGCAGTGCCAGCAGCGTGATGGCAGGGACCAGCCCTGCTTGTGTACAGCGTCCTCACGACCCAATGCTGTTGCCGGTGGAGGAAAGTCGTAGCTCGGGGAGGTGTCCCTGTACAGCTGCTTCAGCTTAGAGTTGCAAGAGGGAACGTCTCCCATTCCACCCCAGACCAGCGCTGCGGGACTGTCCCTCTCCAGCATCAGGTCCAGAGTCTCCCACGCTCAGGAGCGTGGGCTCCTGCGGCTGCTCGCAGCTGGGAGAGGGTCTTAGCTGGGAAAGAGCGCGAGTTCCCGCTGGTTCTGTGGGCAAGGGCAGCTCCCCGGATCTATCTGGGCTCCTGCACTGGCTTACGGAGGAGCAGATGCTCAAATGCTCCATGGCCCAATCCTGCATTGAGCCAGCATCAGGGCTGGGTTTCGAATCGCTGCAGTGGGATGGGAAAGGCGAGCAGGTGGGTAAGAAGAGAACAGGTATTTCCTTCTCTTGGGGAAGGGTCCTGTGTGCTTTCGGGGCTCTGCTGCCTTTCCTCGTGCGGCGCTGCGAGCAAAAGCCCCGAGCGCTTCTGTGCCGACCTCCCCATCCTGGACACCCCTCCGTAGGCTCCAGCTGTACCCTCCTTTAAGACCTGATATTCTTGTGGGCAGCTGTGCCTGTTGTGACAGAGGCTTAATTGCTTTTTACTACTGTTCTTAAATTATGCAAAGTAAAATAATTCCAGGTAGCCATGGTGTAATGAGGAATACAGCCGTGTCTCTCGCACCTTGTGCGTGCACGGACGATGAGGCAGGTGAGCTGATACTTGGGGAGGTGTCTGCAGAGGCCCCATATAGTCACGGTCAACCTGCAGGCTTGCTCCTGGGGCTGAAGCAGCAAGTAGCGGAGCAGGATGAGTTTAATTCCCTCGGCAGAGCGGCAAAGTTGAAGTGTTGAGAGGGCTGAACGCTGAGTGATGAGAAGGTGAATGTGGGGGTGAGGGGTGCGTGCTGTCACGCTGCGGTGTG